AGATGTCAGATGCGAAATGGCAGCTCTGAAAACGGGTCATTGGGTCGCCAACCTCCACATACAAGTCACTTCCCTAGTTGCCTTCTCAGATAATTTGGGATTGACCCAAGACACGTACAGAATAAAACTTATGTGTTACCTAAAGCCTACCAAAACTAAGGTTGAAGAATGGCAACGATTCACAAGCGCAGATCCATCTTCTTTCAAGAATGAAGTAGGTTGGCCTCGAGTTGAGAAAGGAGAGAGCATACTGCGCGGGTAGTTGAGAAAAGGCTCCCCAAGCAGGCGCGCAAGGATCTATGCTCGCAGGGTTGACAAATATGCTAAAACACTATTTCTAATTACGTATGCATCTAACTGACATTTCGAGAGATCTTTGACCTTAAACTCAGCTGGGCGGGTTCCACAACCATTGAGAAGGGTGGATGCGTTCCATCCGTTACGACAGTGAGGAGTATTACACAGAGACACAAGGTCAGGTATGAGTACCAACTCAGCTGCCAATCGCCAGGTCATTAGGTTCCATGTTTGGGCCAGTTGTGAGCGGCTAGGTAGTACTGCTCAAAAAACAGACCACGATAACTCTCTCAAAAGGCCAAAAGCGGTCAGAGAGTGTCGTCAACAATGGCTACTTAAGAGGCTCCGCGGACTCCGATGATGGATCTTCGAAACAATCCAATCTCCAAGCTCTTTGCAACGGCAACAGGGATGTAGAAGATGCAGGAGATGAAACCCCACGAACGGTAGTATTGGATGGCCGTGCACTCTTGCGGACGTGCGCTATCGAAGAGGACCCAAGATGGGGGAACGCGAATCCTTGCCAGTGACATACTATGTACTCAGCCAATTGAGATCTCCCAATGATTCAAAGTAGTGATTTAAAACTAGCTGTCTATTCTAGCGCACTAGAGAACACTTGTCATTGAGCATGAGTAACCATGATCATGAGAAGACAATGTTTGCAGGGCGTTTGTGATGGGCCCATGGATTGAAACTATCCCCGTATTGAGATGCTCCATTTGCACCTGGGGAGAGTGCGGCGCAGAGGATAATGTGCCGGGAAAGACTATGTACCAGCGAACCACAGGACTTTGGGGCCTCAGGAGATTTTCCACATGGAAAATTGACCTCGGTCGAGATGTCACAGCACCGAATTTACAAGTTCGCCTTGGCTGTGATCGGGACGAACCATCATACCGACAGTCAGCTGAGACCCACTCTTAAGTCCGGCCCAAGGATATGAAATAGAGTTGCTCGGCGTTACAGGTGGGTCTAGCTAAATTGGCGTCACCGACCGATGTTCATCAGATGTCAGGAGGGAATTCTCTGTCGTGTCCGTCAGATATGATTGTTATCCATCATTCCTCGTTCATCATTCCACTTCCTGCAGAGGCCAGCTTATTTTTCATCCGCGCATCGTTTCGCGTTTCAATCGTCATCTGTCATTATGTCCGACCTTCCGGCCGCAGGCAGGACTAGGTCCTTCCGGCGACGGCGGGAACGGTCCAAGCTGGTCTGCCATCAATGCCATCGCCGAAAGCTGAAGTGTAATAAAGGACAGCCTTGTGATCGGTGTTCCAAGACTGATCCTCCATTGAGATGCACCTATGACCACTCAGCAACTGATAGTGGCCAGAGGCACCCTCCGCAAGAGGCCAACGCGGCACGGTCCGATAGCCGAGATCGAGTCGCACCTAACGACGAGCCAGTGTCAATCGAAGGACAAGAGGATGTTGGTCTTGAATCCCCACACATATCGCCGCCAGCCTGTGGAGTTTCAACCACTCCGGAGACAAACGTGGGGCAGAGAGAAAAGGCGCAAAATCATCCCGAGATCACCTTATTAACGCCACAAGAAACTGTCATTGGCGAGGGTGTGGAATGTCCTGCAGTCCCCAAGAAGGTTTCCCGAAACCCTTTAAAGAGAAGTTGGTGCGGAAGAAGTAGTGTTCACGGTCTTCTTGAAAAGGTAGGTAGGTTTGCCACTCAGCCTTCATCAACTTTCCGGTAGTCTGACATTGACCGTGCAGTTGGACCACATCCTAACACCCCTAAGCCAAGCTGGCTTCATTAAACCCGATGGCAAATTCACTTCTTACAGTGATCTCAAAGATCAACTATTCCGACGCCGCTTCTTGGTTTCTGGAGATTCCGAGGAAGCTCAGCGATCCATTTTCGAGGAAATCCCCGACAGGGAAATTGCCATCAAGTTAGTCGACAGATACTTCAAGACATACGGCTCCATGTTTCGGTTTCTAAATCAGTCTAATTTTCGGGCTGAGACTGAGAAACATTGGGGATCACCAGAGAGCGTGTCCTTAACTTTCTGTATCCACCTACTGCTGGTCATTGCCATCGGCAACGCATCGATCCAGGCGACGGAAGACCGAATCCCTCTCACCAGGATTACCACGTGGTGGTATCTCATTCAGGCATGGCAAAGCGTTGCGCTTCGGTCTGATCCCCGCGATATAACGACATTACAGTCGTCCTGCCTCATTAGTCTGATGCGGCAATGCTACGGTCTGGAGGCGCTTGCGAGCTGGCCCTCATCCGGAGCATTGGTGCGCAACGCTATGATGGCAGGTCTGCATCGAGACCCATCTTCCACTGGCTATCACCTGGATCCGGAGGAGCTAGTGATGCATCAAAACCTATGGTATACCATTCTCGAGCTTGATTTGCAGAGCTCTATGGATGAAGGAATGCAACCCACTTTGACTCCAGACGATTGGGATATGCCATTACCGACGATGGTGTCTGACCATCTGGACACTGCAGGAGGTTCTCAGGCCATCTCAGCTGTTTTGGTGCTGATATCCACTCTACCAGTCAGACTTCAGATTGCACATTTTCTCAACAACATAAAAGGCTCAGTCAACTACAATGAAGCATTCATGCTCCATGAACAGCTAAGCCCCGCAGCACAACTCCTGCTATCATCAGATATAGCTCATCGTTCTACCTCGACGGCGTTTGCTCATGGATTGCCCACCGCATTATGCGCCAGATCTCTATTAGCTCTCCACATCCCTTTTGGATCGCTCAGGAGCCCATTATACACCTTCTCCCACAATATTTCCATGTCAACCGCAATGTCTCTAATGGAAAGGCTCGACCCTCCCCAAGACAAAACCGGCTGGCCAGAGAATGACGCGCTAGTAACTTTGATGCGCACTTCAAGTTCCATCTTCCAGACGATTGCTTTCCAAGCGATCCTCTTCATTTGCGTCCAGATGGAGAGCTACTTCGCGGATCCCCAATCATGGACCCTTGTACCTGAGCTCAAGGAGAGGTTCGCCAAGATCCTTGGACGCTTCATTTACATCGCTGAACAAAGGCTTCCCACGCAGGATTTTGTTGGCAAGGCTTACATGATACCAGCCATGGTCCTGGCACACATGCGGCTTGCGAATTCGGGGATGAGCAGAGACGACATGGCAGCAAACGACGCGATCATTGCTGAGGAAGTAACGACAACATGCTTCAGCATATTCCGCAACAGACCAGATCTGCCCTCTGTCTAGGTCAACCCGGTGGATTATTGACTCCGCCCGTGCTTTCTCATGAAGCCTGACTGCCAACAGTCATGAGCTGTGCGTGGTCCACCTCAGTCTCGGTCGGCTCGGCTCGGAGGAACCCGGCTTTCGCAGTCAAATTGATCTTTCTCTCCTCTTAAACCACCAACTTTCCTCATGAACACAGAGAGTCCAATTTTGACATCGGTTGGCGCGCGCATACAATTTGATCATTGAGTATCCTCTGTCAGCCCTGACAAACCCGACCGATGCTGTGACGTCTACACCGCTTCGGGAATGAAATGCCGGACTGCACCCGGATCACAGCTCGGCGATGTCGGAGACCCGCTTGCAATTCGGACACCGCGTTACGCAGCCTCCAGACGAGTCAGTTTCGGTCTCAATCTTGATGGTTCTCCGACTGAGATCTTATCAATCTAATCATGTGGGAGCAGCATGACGGCATGTGATCCTGGCTATAATGCCATTCAAGCGGGACCTGAAAACTGCACCTCCTGCCGAATTTTCTAAGCTTTTCCGCGTTTCTTTTTCTTCACACTACTTGCAGATCTGGAGTGCATCACGCAGCAGCAGAAAAGCACGCCGTCTTACCGCCCAACCATGGCTGCACTCCGCCCCCTCCGAAGGATGCTGCAGGATACCTTCTGCTGTCCACTCCCTTTTGGTAACTCAGAAGTGATATCCACGCCCCCACGTTACATCGCAGTTGATGCGCCGTCCAGCGTCTCCGCGAGCGACCTGCTGGAGGTGATGCAGACCCGACGATCGCACTACCAGCTATCTAGAAAAGTCCCCTTATCAACCACCCGCATCGACGAAATCGTTCAAGAGGCGCTCGCCGAAGTGCCATCCGCCTTCAACTCCCAATCGAACCGAGTAATTGTGCTTCACGGTCAGCAGCACGACAGGCTGTGGGACATCATTACCAAGATCCTCCGAGCCAAGGTGCCGGATGAAAAGTGGGAACACACGAGCGAAAAGATGAAGAACTTCAAGAAAGCGGCAGGCACTGTCTTATTCTTCGAGGATCAACAGATTGTCGAAGACTTGCAAGAGAAGTACCCTACTTATGCCACTGAGGTCCCTCTATGGGCCGCACAGAGCGATGGAATGCTGCAGTATGCCGTATGGACTCTCCTGGCAGCGGAAGACATCGGTGCCAACTTACAGCACTACAACCCCATTATTGATGAGGAGGTTGCGAAAGCTTGGAATGTCCCAAAGAAGTGGAAGTTGAAAGGCCAACTGGTGTTAGGCGGAATAACTGGAGAGCCTAAGCCAAAGGACTACATGCCGATGGTTGACCGGTTCAGATCATATGCATGATGCTCATAGGAGGACACGACAAGGCGCCTGGTGTTCTCAACTTTTTGGTCATAGATGTGTTTACAGTAATAGTACAGAAGTGCTTTCTCTTCGCTCCCGCCGCTCTAACGCACTCAAACTAGCCGCGAGTGTCGTTCAGGCCTCTTTGTTCTGCTGAACGCTGACAGTGAACACATCGGTTCTCATGATCTTCCCGTTGAAGTTGTGCTGATTGAGTATGCTCTCCTGGCTTCCCTTTGCGACGGCCGTCGTCGTCGTCGTATCGTCGAAGCTGATCTCGTCGGCCTGTCTCATAGCTCGCTTTCGAGCTTCTCGCGACCGTGAAAGCTCAATGTTATCCGATCGCATGTGGCCGCTCGGTCCTGAGGGACCAGAACCGTAGTTCTCGTACGTGTATTTGCCGCCGCCAGAGCTGAACATGCGCTTGCCAAATAGCAATTCGCCAAGAGGCTGTAGCACTGGGATGCACGCGGCTATGATCATGGTACTTCCTTCAACACTATACCACGTCATTAGTTCTTGCAACTTGGTTTCAGTTATAATTACACTTACATCGTCCAAATCACCAAGTCCGCTGTGTCATCTGAGCCCGACAAAGTTAGCGAGAGCACTTGGGCGAGGAAGTTCGGTTGAGCTACGTACACGAAAAGTCTTGACTAGCCAGACTTGGAAGCCTGGTACACTTGTAAATCGCAACGATTGAAGAGCTGCCGACAATTTTCAGTGTCTAATTTGAGGATCTTCAGAGCATGTGGCTTACATTGAGCCAATCCCCAGGGCGACACTCAATGCAACTTTCTTCCTGACGCTCATCTGCAACTTCGCGAGCACCACAGCAGGATACACGGCCAGGTAAATATCGACAAAGGCACAGAAGCCTGGAAGAGTTACACATTAGCTCAAAGCCATATCAAGTAGCTTTGGGTACATCTATGCTTACCTCCCGAGTAGATGGCGAAATAAACAAGAATCCACTTGTCCCAGCATGTTTTATCAAGCACGGAAAAGTCCCACTGCGAGTGCGACGGCTGGCATTGGGCGAAGAGAATAATCACACAGCCAACCAAGTTCGCTAAGCAGAACAAACTCATTGCCCATAGGAATATTATGTGTCCCTTACTAGGGTTCATGATCCGAGTGAGGAGCGCCACAACAGCGAGTTTGGGGAGCCCGAAGGACATGACGCCCGCTGGGAATCCAGCAATGGTCCATAAGATGGCGCCTTGTTTCTGTTCGAGGTCGAGGATATCGAAGTGTCGTCCGTTTCCGTGCGCCACCGCGGCGATGGCCGTTCCAACGTTCACCCAACCACAGATCTGCAAACGGCGCGGCACAGTCAGTTTGCCAACGTTCCAAGTGTTTGCTGAAGGTTTCTTGGCTGCATATGCAGATAACTCACCACCGATGCAATGATCAAATAGTCATCCAGGTGGACTTTTCCTAGTATCTTCCCCCTGACGAAGAGTCTTGCTGCTGCGAACACGGTACTCAAAGCCGAGACGGAGATGACGATTCCGAGGGCCGTCGGGCCTTTGTCCTCGGCGTCTCGCTCAAGAGATGATGCGGTTGACATTCTCGCAAAAGTGTCAAGAAAAGACGTTTGCGAAAGAAAAGGAGAACAGTCGCTGCATGTGGGCTGTTGGAGGCGCTCGACAAGACAACATGAAAAGCGCGGCAATACCCGCGCCAGATGGAGGTGGAGGGTCGGAGAAATAAGAAACGAGTGCCTCCACGGGGACCTGGGAACCCCAAGAGACCACCTACTAGTTTTCGCGGAGGCGGGAGCATCGTCCGCCATCTCCTGAGCCCTCGTTTGAGTCCAGCCTTTCATTTCCCATTGCGGTGCTGATCGCGACTTCTTCTAGGCTCCCAGTCAGATTCTTGTTGCCACATTCCGGCCGTTTTTCGAAACAGACAAGGGATTGCAAAAGAACTTCCAACAGTCATGCCATTCGAGTCTTGTCGAGGATTCGAGCGCAGACACTCGTGTTGCAAGGGTTGGGCCAAGAGACGTTGAACCAACACGATGTTCTCATTCGCCGACGGGAACCAGGCCCCCTGAGCAAAAGACGTTATCCCTCGCCTGACCGGTGGGTTTCCGGTGGACTTTCCATATGTCCGCGGACCCACAGACTTGGGTCTTTAGTAGTGATCTATTACCACAGCCATCGAGTCTGTTGAAGAACCAACGTGTTGTTGGTGTTGTGTTGCAAAAGTGACCCTGCATGTGCATACAAGCCCCTGAAGATGGATATGAAGCTGCCGCTTTGGGCCCTTGGCGATCATGGGAGAACGAACATCGGCATCAGTCTCAACCCGAAAGGCTCGGGAGACACGTGGACTGAGCAGATAACAAGCCAGGAGAAGAATACTATATATGATGGTTCTTGTTTTGTCGGTTGAAAGCCCCTTCATTCGGCAGATCATCCTGTCTTCTCATTACATATCCAGTTTTGTCTTGTCCAATTCTTCTCTCTTCCCTTTACGCACTCGAGTCGTTGTTCTGTTACCTACCATGGGTTCTCTTCCGGAGAGACTGCCGTTGGACCCCTCTGTGGCCATTCAGCCGAATGATGCCAAGCGTGTGGCCGAGCTTGCAAACGCGATCGGCTCTCTCGGAGCAACTTGGTCGCCAAGCGATGATGCCACACGTAATCAACTGTTGAAGCAGGCTCGTGCGTTGGTACTGTCTCTCGAGACGCCTAGAGAAACAATGATTAGGCATGTGTGGGCGCAGGTAAGTCCTTTTCTGACCAGCCTCAAAGCTTTCTGCTGATCAGGATATCATAGCCCAATGTCAATGTCAACATCCTGGCGGGCATTTACTCGGGTCTTTGGAAGCACATGACGGAGAACCCTGGGCCCAAGAAGGTTGAAAAGCTTGCTTACACGCTGGGCTTTGATCCCGATGTCCTTGCTCGCTTGCTGCGTCATCTCGGCGCGATGGGATACATAAAAGAGGTCGGGGCCGATGAGTATGAACTCACGAACTTTTCAAAGTCCTTGAGTCTCCCCCTGATCGCTGGAGGATACCCTGTCACGTAAGTCGTCTCCACCACTGCCGACATTCCCACCCCTGACTGTCCACAGCGTTGGCGGTTGCTGGCCGACCCTGGCCAACTTCCCTACGTACCTGAAGAAGAACAACTGGAGGATTCACGAGGATCCCAAAAAGGGACCCATGCAAGACATCATTGGCGAAGACAGCGACTTCTTCAAACACATGATGACCAACTATCCTGCGGGAGAGTTCCAGAACCACATGGCTGGCTACAGACAAGGCCGGCCGTCATGGATGGACGCTGACTTCTTTCCGGTCGCCGAGCGCCTTGTTCAGGGTGCAGACACCGCCAAGGATGCCGCGTTCCTCGTCGACATCGGAGGCAGCACAGGCCACGATATCGACGAGTTCTGCCGAAAGCATCCCAACGCGCCCGGCCGCCATGTTCTGCAAGACCTCCCGCACGTGCTTGCGCAAGTTGAGAAGATCGACCCCAAGATCGAGCCAATGGAGTATGACTTCCACACAGAGCAGCCGGTCAAGGGCGCTAGGGCGTACTATTTGCATTCTGTGCTTCACGACTGGACAGACGAGGTTGGCAAGAGTATCCTCGCGCGCGTGACGGCTGCGATGAAGCCTGGATACAGCAAGTTGTTGATCAATGAGAACGTCGTACCCGGAACCGGGGCCAACTGGCAGACCACAGCCCTGGACATGATGATGCTCACTCTTTTTGCTTCAAGAGAACGAACGGAAGCGCAATGGCGCAGTCTCCTGGAGCCGGCGGGTCTCAAGATCGTCAAGATTTGGTCCAAGGGCGAGGGAGTGGAGAGCCTCATCGAGTGTGAGCTGGCGTGAAAATGCGGAGGTTAGCAGGTGGGTGGTGAGGTTGTGCAAGTTGGGAAGGTTGTTGGTAGATCTCGGGTTGGACGTGGAGCATGTCAGAACTCTGTTGGAAGAGAAATGCAACCGCCGGTCCACACTTCATTTGGTGACGAAAATGTCTGTGATTATCATTCGCTCGTTGGTTCTGTGTCGTATGTTGCACCAACAGCACCGTCCCAATCAGGTAACTAATTTACCAGCCCGAATCCCCGAACCATGAAAAGAGAAATGATGTCCGTGTTGCGGCATGACTGCCGGTGGAGCCGTTACGCAACGGCCCGTCTCACAACCCTCAATCCGGCTCAAAGCTCTTGAGTTCCGCGGAAAGATGGCAACATTTACCGATTGCGCCCAGCCTTGTCGTGGCTGTGTGCCCATGCCGAGTGCCGACTTCCTATCCTGTGCATCCTCTCTCTGCTGTCTGATCACGGATACGAGGCCCTGATCATCTTGTTACAATTACAGGTCAAAAAAGACACGCGATGTTGAACAGATTTGACTTCCAAATATCCTTCCGCTGGTCGCGGGGAGACATTCCTTCTCAGTAATAGGCTTTGCTGCAATCGTCAATTTTCAGTTTGGTAGACATGAGTAAACCTCAAAAAGGCTTTTATCTATCCAGTTCGATCAGCGTGTTCAATCAGTGTACATGCCCTCTGCCACTTGACGAATGTGCTGATCTGGCGTTGACCGGATCGAAGACCGGGACGGTGGGTCCAAACGGCCGGAACTACGGCGCTGACACGGCCCCTCATAGATCTTTCGGCCTGGGCGATCGGAAGACACTGCTCCCTCGCTTAACTTCTGCCGGAGCACTTAGGGACGGCGAAGCGGGACAGGTCCGACGCAAAATCTCCGCTGTACTCGGCCTTCCGGCGGAAAGAATGGAGGTCGTGATCCCGGCGCTAGGGACAATCGGGCAAACTTACTCAGTTCGATGTCCGACCTTCCGCGCTGCCGTATGCCCCAATTTTGCTGAAGAATTTTCTGTGGAAACAATGTCCGCCTCCGCCGTCAGCACCACGTGTACGAATGAACGTTGTGCGGAACGTAATTAGGGGCTTCGAAGTGGCCGAAAGATGTCCGGGGTCCACCTTGTAAGGGTGGATGCTCTTTTGATGCAATCTTCAGGGGGCCCTCATTCTTCAACCAACCATCTTCCCGGGCCACCAAAAGAAATCTCCATGACCCCCGTTCGCGGGCCGTTTGACATCTCCGTTGCCTACCAGACGCCACCCAAAAACCGTAACGGAATTGCTCGACATTGCCTCTTCTAGACACCAGAAAACACGACGTTACATCCAGTTTGTCAACGCGAATAGGGGCCGTTTTCTTTCCTCGATAATCAGCACACCCCCGCGCTTCTTCAATGGAAGAAAGCACCAACATCCAACCTCAGCCCATCCTGGGCATGCAACAGCTATGCCGGCAAATCAAAGACACTGTAATCCTGCCGCGGCCGCTGCGCCTGCGCGTCCTGTTGATCCCTCATGCCACGAGCCCTTGTCTCGACGTTGCAAAACCTCGGCCCTGTGGCTTTATCGGGCGTAGAGCCAAATGCAGCATATGTGGAGCTGGCACTTGGCCATCGTGACCCCCGGACTCTCCACAAGCAGCCTGATGCAAGGTGACCGTTGAGAAAACGATATTGCCCTCTCTTCTTCGCAACTTTCGAAATCATGTTTCGACATCCTTCCTTCATTCTTGTCGGTAATCGTCAACGATGTCGACTATCGAGACTGGACCGTCGTCCGTCGACGTTTCGGCGTCATACCTGAGCACGCGCAGCGTGCTTGGTCTGCTCAGCCTCTGGCTGGTGTACCAGTTCTTCAAGGCCCTTTACAACATATCGCCGCTGCACCCGTTGAGCGGCATCCCCGGCCCGAAGTTGTCTGCTGCGACGTACATCCCTGAGTTCTACCATGATGTTATCAGATTCGGCAGATACACGAGAGAAATCCATCGCATGCACGAGCAGTATGGTGAGTTCAACCATATTATTTCTGGAGACTCTTGACAGATTTCTAACCATCACCAGGACCCATCGTCCGCATCAGCCCTCATGAGGTTCACTGCAACGACGCCAACTTCTCCGACGAGATCTACGCTGTGAGCGGTCGCAAGCGCGACAAGCCAGTTCACCAGATCAACGGCTCGGCGTAAGCAACTCCTGCAGCCCCAGCCAATAAAGCGCAACTATGCTAATGACTCTGTACGACTCTAGCCTGGGCGAGTCTGGATTCGGAACCGTTGATCACGACCAGCACCGTCTGCGACGTGGCCCTCTCGCCAAGTTCTTTTCGCGCGGCAACATTGCCCGATTGGAGGCGGATTTGCATGCGATGGTCCAGAGGCTTTGCGACAAGCTGCTGAACGAGTCGGGCAAGAAGGAGTTTGATGTAACAATGGCTTACAGCTGCTTCACATCCGATGCCATTTCGGGCTACTGTTTCGGCGAGAGCTTCGGCTTCCTGCAGCAGGAGGGGTGGTATCCCAACTTCCGCGCCCCGACCGCCTCAATTCTGCGACCCGTCTTTGTCTTCCGCTTCTTTCCCTGGACCAAGTCTCTTACCGTGCTTGGAGAGTGGTAAGTCAATTTGGACGAGGCGAAGGCAAGGGAACAGCAACAGCGCTAACACCGCACAAGGCTCATCAACTATTTACCCGCGGATATCGCCCTGCTCATCCAGACGTTGAAAATCGATATCCCGAACAGGGTCAAGAAGACCAAGAAGGAACTCGATGCCGGCATCCGACATGAGCGCCCCACAGTCTTCGGTTCCCTTTTGGAGTCGGAACTCTCCATGCTCGAAAAGGAGCCCGAGCGATTGGGCGACGAAGCCACAGCCGTTGTCGGCGCCGGGACCGAGACCACCAGCTGGGCCCTGTCCGTCATGACTTATCACCTCTTGACTAAGCCTGAGCTCCTCGCGAAGCTCCGCAAGGAACTCGACGGGGTTGTCACTGATCCTCAGCACCTCCCATCCTGGACGTCCCTGGAGACCCTCCCCTACCTGGGTGCAGTCATCCAGGAGGGTCTTCGTCTGTCTTATGGTGTCTCTGCGCGCACTGCTCGTATCCCCACCCAGGAGAACCTGGTCTATCGCGGCGAGTTCAACAAGAAGCCCGTCGAGTATGTCATCCCCCGCGGCTTCGCCATCGGCATGTCTGCCGCCATCACCCACCACGAGGAGGGCGTCTTCCCCGATTCCTACCAGTTCATCCCCGAGCGCTGGCTGGATGAGAAGAACAACCGCAGGAAGGACGTTGAGAAGGGCATGCTCGCTTTCTCCAAGGGCAGCCGATCTTGTTTGGGAATGAAGTGAGTGATTACCACCCGAAAGTCCGTACGAGAGAAACTCGCTGACATATCAACTTTTAGCCTGGCTTTGTGTGAGATGAACCTGTGTTTGACTGCTCTTGTCCTCCGCGTCCTGCCTCGTATGCAACTATTCGACACCGAGGACGAAGATGTCGCTTACGATCACGACATGTTCGTGCCGGAGCCAGCCAAGGGTACCACGGGAGTCAGAGTGAAGATTGTTTAGCACAACATTGCAACTATTTAATGACCGGTGTTCGAGTGGGAGCAGGTAGGCCAAGAGACATCCCAACTCACATGTTTCTGGTTTGCTCTACGATTGTGGAAGTTTGTGAAGTGTGTCGTGTTTCTCGCAATAACCATGCGAATTGAGGGCATCCTTTACGAACTTCTACAGTCGCGGAGTGAACCAAACCATCTGGGCTAGCATGTCCAGGCACTTGCTTCTCCGGTCCTACTAGCTCGTCCTTTAGCTCAAAAACTTAATTCAAAATATTCCAAAGAGCCTCCAAAGTGGATATCTCCTCGTCTCGCCTGGAATTATGACGGATATGATCCCAGTGGATTATCCCAAGTCATCCAGCCCGTTCGTCCCTTTCCGGCTCGAGTGCGACCCAGGCAGCGTCGCAACAGCCTCATCAGGACGAATTCGGCTCGTCTTATTCTCGTACGAGATCATGATGCGGAGTACGGTTGCCTTGCTCCTACGCAAGAAAGACTTTTTGTCCCGCCGATCCCAATTGTGGCTCCTCACACGGCTCGTTGGGATCTGCGTGTTTCAACCCCCAAAGTCGACATGGCCCGAATGGATTCGATATCCTGCTAGTGCGGAATCGCCATGCGTCTTCCTGGCTGCCGCGATTGGGCGGCCGTCAGACGCATTCCCTGCGTCGTTCGACCAACTTCGGCCGCTGAAGATGTCTTCTGCCTAGTGTGGTGGAGTTGACCTCGTAGACCTGCAACGGACCCCTGGGCTCGAGCTAGCGTGCCGAGCAAGTGCGGCCGACTTCCTGGTCAACGAAACTCCGCTTCTCGGCTTCCGGCGTCTTCATTGGCTTCGGGAAAGTGGGCATCGCAGAACGGATCCAGAACGTCTGTCTTGCTATTCCAGACCATCCGGACCGGTCAAGCCCCCCTCTTGGCCACTGGACTGGGCTGTTCAAGGCAGAGTCTTCGATGGAATACGGACCCTGTTGGTCATTCTCCATTGACAGCCTCTGACAGGCTTGACAGTCCCAACAGCCAATGTCTGGGGTTACATCCATGAAACCTATCCCTGGTTCTGATCTTTTCTGGCACCAAGCGGCACGCCGCGTGCGACGGCGCCGTTTCCCCTGCAGATTAGATCTGCCGCACTCGCAGCCCCCAAATTGATATTCGCGGCTTAAAAGTAGACGGGACGCCTCTTTCCAGAAGTCTGGCCAGGTATTTCCTCGTGGCGTGACGGTGTGCTCACGGAAGGACTGATCAACACGAGCCGACAACATGTGGTCAACAACCCTCGACCCCGATTTGCGAATGCTCCCGCCAACGGGCCTCCCTCTCGCCATCATCGTCATATCATGCGTCTTCCTCGTCTTCTCGGTAATCTGCGTCGGGCTACGTACCCGCATCCGCCTTGTCGAACGCACCTTTGGACTTGACGATGGCCTCATGGCGGCAGGAACGGTATGGGATATCTCGAAGGAAGCACGGCGAGATACAGAAAGAGTGAAGGCTTACGATGGTTGATAGGTTGTTTACGTGGCGGTTGTTGGACTTGCTGTCTACGGTTGCTTCGTTGGACTCGGGACTCTCGAGGAGAACTTGAATGCATGGCTGTGGGCGGAGGGCCTCAAGATCTACGTTGTCTGGATCCTCGTCTACGTCGGCGCCCTTGCGCTCGTCAAGTCTTCAGTCTGCCTCACGATTCAACGCATTGTCACGACGGATCGGGCTCTCACCATCACGATTTGGATCCTTTTGGGCCTCACGTGGGCATCTTTCTTCATCACGTTCATCGGAACCCTTCTCTACTGCCGACCTGTCGAAGCTCTATGGACGCCAACGATGATTCTCTCCGGCGAGGGAACCTGCGCCGATGTCGACGTCCTCATTGCCATCGGGCATGTGGCCACCTCTTCCGCAATCGTTACCGATCTCGCTCTCGTCGTCGTTCCCGCTGTCATTCTGTGGGGAACGCAGATGAAGACGCAGACCAAGCTGCAAGTCTTTGGACTGCTGTCCTTCGCTTCTGTGTAAGTGCTCCCTTCGATTCCATCTTGCATTGCATGACACCTAACTTGGTTTCAGGGCGTCGATCATCACGATGGTCCGCATTCCTTACGTCAACCACTTTAAGGCCCAGACGAACCTCCAGTGTAGGCTTCAATCCACGATATCCATTCCCTTCATCAAGCTGACACGATCCAGTCTGGGTCGCCCACACAGTCCTCTGCTCCAACGTCGAGACAGGCATCGGCTGCATCGCCTCCTCGGTCCCCTCTCTGCGCCGCTTCATCGCACGCACACGCGGCACGACCGCCGAAGATTCCGCACCCAGCAAAAGCAACGGAACGGGCGGGCTCTTCACGTTTGGCAGCAAGCCTGTCGAGAGGAGCCGCGACCCGTACCGCAACCCAACAGATGTGGGCTTCAGTCTCGCCACTGTGCATGGGAGGGGCGATGACAGCTGGGAACGCCTCCAGGATGGCGATTCCGACAAAGGAGACCTGCTGCCGAACAACCAAAAGGGCGGCGGTATCCACAAGCAGTTCACGTACACGGTCGATATCGAGACGGACTCCAGTCTGAAGACTGGCCGGTCTGGATCGAGTCGGTAGGGAACCGATGTCGAGCCGGTGTCTGTTCGCGCTCAGATTAGAGCACTAATGTATAAAATCCTGTACAATATCCATGAGTGATGCGACGTTTCTCCATGCCTGTGTGCGCGTTTTCCAGGCGTGCCAGGATGAAATTAATCAAAATAAGGCATTGACCACACGACATAAAAAAGAGAGGCCTCTCGGTGGCCAATTAGGTGGCGAGACTGTTACGTATTAGTATCGTGTGGGCTTTTTTGACAACCACATCCACATGGCCAGGGGGGCAGAAGAGGCAGAAAATCCATCATTCCGCCCTCCGCGGCCGATGGATCTCTCTTCAACACGTGTGAGACCTTGTCCTGGCCCCTGGCGCTTTGACCTTTCCAGCCGTGTAGAACACCGCCCCAGTGCCATCGGGAATGTGGGCTGGGAGACCGATCGTGACTTGACTCGTATTTGACTCAAATCCACACACAACTATCGAATAGAGTCGCGGCGAGTTGTCCGAGGGGCTCGTCATCGTCGCCATCGTTGCCCATAGTCAGTGCGAACATTGCAGATCCGATAGCCGACCCAAGACTTTCACACTGGAGTCACGAGCCCTGGTCCACCGTCCAGTAGCAATTCATTGCTACGTTAGCAAAATAATGAGAGCCGCAGAATTGGGCAAAATATCCTTTTTGGAAATGCCAAGGAGACATTAAAGATTCACATGCCACCGGAGAAATTCATGCAGGATGGCAGTTTTGACACGAACCAGGTAAACTAGCGCAGATATGAAATTGCCAACCGTCTGGAAATAAACACTTCAAAACTTGGCGGGTTAGACGAGGCCTTCATCTCCTGTTGACCTAGGCGAACCAATATTGACGGCCGTGATGACGGCAACGTGCATCGCCCCTTTCCGTTTACGGCAAGCCTTTTCCCCTGAGGGCGGGGAACCCAACATGCGGCAAAGACTCTTCCGCAAAATTCACTAAGGAGCAAAAGGGTAGTGAGAGGCGGCATGGGTATTTATAAGAATCCTCAAATGTCGGTTCAACAAGCTACCGAAACTCAACTTTGACCCGACATATTCTCCGAAAATCCTCAGCGGTGTGAATGTTTACAGTTTGCGATCCAAATGAGATGTTTCTTGGCGGACCACTGCGTCGGCGAATGGACTGATTTTCGGCCCCCACGTGAAGCCGGGCCAAGTCGACCGTTGAGTCAACCTGTGTGAATGCTGCCGAACCAATGGCGGGTGCTGGAAGGCAGGAACAGTAAGACTAACCTTGTTGGTCGAAAAATATGCGCGACAGAGAACGAATGTGACGATCTTTGCGTGAATGAGCAGAGGCCGGCAGGAATCCAGATACAACTTCCCCTCACTTCATGTTGTTAACTGATGTCACAAAAAGAATGCTCTGATGAATAGACATATAAATACAACAGACAAAAGAGTCAAAATGAGGGCCATGCCGTTGAAGCCAACCAGGCTGAACTTGATCCGTGACAGTCCCGAATTCATAATGAAGCCTGCTCCGGCCGCTGCGGTGCTCCTCGGAGCTATCGGCGCATATGCCCAATCATCCGACCTCTTCACTCGTTTCATGACGTACAACATCCGCTGGGCAACACCTACTCCGGGTACCAATGAAGCACTTTGGTCCGTCCGTCGGCCCCGTCTTACGGCGCAGCTCAACTACGAAACCGCCGGACGACCCGAGTCCCTCGTCTGCATGCAGGAGGTGGTTGAAGAACAACTGCTGGACATTGCCGAAGACCTCGGCTCCTCTTGGTCCCACATCGGCGTCGGCCGCGATGATGGCGTTGCGGCGGGGGAGTTCTCTCCGATCTTCTATCAGCCGGGAGCTTGGGACCTTGTGGAGAACCGCACATATTGGTTGAGTGAGACTCCGGATGTCGCCGGCTCTGTGGGCTGGGACGCGGCTCTCCCGCGAATTGTGACCGTCGCCTCGTTTACGCACGTCGGTTCTGGCTTTCCTCTGGTTTTCATGTGCACCCATTTCGATCACGTTGGTCAGACTGCACGCGAAAACAGCGCGACGTTTCTAGTTGATCTCGCCAAACAATGGGAGTCTTTGGCGAATGAAGTGACGCCTGTTTTTCTGGGAGGCGACTTGAATATTGAGCCTGACAACCCCGCCTACCAGACATTGATTGCAGAGGGCAACATGCACGACACACTTGACGTGACACCTGAGGCGCATCGAGTTGGGTACTCAAAAACTTACACGGCCTTTACCGATGACGAATCGGACGACAGCCTTATCGATCACTTATTTGTTAGGGATCCAACTGCCAGAGGAATGGAATTCCTTAGCCACGCAGTGTTGCCAAACAAGTTTGACGATGGGGTGTACATTTCCGACCACCGCTCTGTTGTCACTGATGTAAAGTTTGGAGCTGCATAGTTGGGTTTTCGCAGATTCCCAGTGTTAAGGGATAAACATGCAACTCAATCTCAAAGTCTTCACTTTATGTATGTGATCGAGGTTCGATAACTTTTCTTCCCTTCTAATGGTCTGACTGCGTCCTTGATATGGATGGACTGAATGACGTCAGTGTCATAAAGGTTCCATCCCGTCGGGATATTCGCAACGGGAAGTTCATCCGAACGGTTTGACCCAACGGCCGATACCCGAGGACTGATTTCTGCAATGGTGACCGCTGACGGTAACGTTCAGCTCTCGTCCAGCAGAAAGCATCATGCTGGCACTAATTGCTCCCTGGTATCCGATTCAGGAATCAGGACAATTGAGAATGTTGGCTGCGCAAGTTACCTGCATAAAATCCACCAAACCGGTGGGATACCAAGTATCTATGCCCCGTTCAATTTATCTGACTCAATATTGCCCAAGAACTTCCCAACCAGCTTGCCTTCTGCGGCTGCAACTCTCTAAAATCGTATGAGGCGGCTCGAAGATCCGGAGAATCATCAGATCAAATTAGATCAAGTGACGATATCCCACGTAGATACCAGCAGACTGCAATCGGGCTATGGGTACATACTGCATGTTCTGTATGTAAATAGTCCCAAAGCGCCCTCCATTCCGATCAATAACAGCTTCAACTACCAACCTCAACTCCATCTCTCAATCTCTCCGTCAATCATTCATCGAACACCTCAATCATGCAGATCAGCTTCTCTACCATCATCCTGGCCCTCGGCCTTGCTTCCACCGCTGCTGCCTCCCATGCTTGCTTCGTCAACGAGCATGCTTGCAGCAACTTCTGCCAGGGCTGCACCAACAGCGGAACCGGCAACCTCCCGTACTGCTGCGATTACTAGATCCCAGTAAGTTGCGAACACGCCTCAATCCCATACGTATCGAGCTCATCAGTCTGAAAAAGGTGGCTGTCAGACTAATTGTTATTCATTGAAAGGATCTATTCCCCGTTCCAGATCGCCAATGAGATGTGGCTGGTAAGCCGGTGAATGGGGCGTCGTCCAAATCGTGAGGGATGCAATTGGCGGATTATTCACAGCGCCAAGAACGCAGAGGCTTGGATTGACAGCGTCATTCACTTGATCACTCAAGGTGTGGCACGTGGCGGCTTTGATAATGTCTCATCTTACCGGCGCAGTGCCGGATTGTATTTGATGGTGCGAATGAGGACAGAACTTCGCTGTTCCGATCTTGTCTGCGCTTAATGCCTGCCTGCATAGGTAGCGAAGAGAAGATACTTCTAAAAGTCAGAGGGCCGCTTTTGGCAACAAGCTTTTTTATGACAGACTTCTTCGTCAATTTCGAGAAAGCGCTTGGTGTGATAAAAATAATGTCAACCGCTTGTTTTCAACACTTTTGGTAGTGCGGTACGCCGATAACGCCGAATACGCCACGGAATGTTTCCAGATCGCTGGGTTGAAATTGTGTTATCGTTCCCGCTAATACGCAGAATGTCTGCCCTCTGACTGGGTGTCTCACAGTTGATGGTAGCTTATTTACCGCAAACGGCAGTGCCACCAGCGAGCCACATGCTAGTTTGCAGCAGCGGCGAGTCTCGCCGAGCATTGGAATGCCGCCAATATGGAATTCTGATTGAAAATGGCTTTTCGCCTGTAAACATAAACGCCTTGACCCCCCTTGCGGCACCCCCTTCCACCCTGAAAAGCCGGGCCTATTATCCGAAAGAAAATCATTGGCACCTGCTGAATACATCGCGACCGATGCGTCCCCATGGATCTCATGTTTTATGACGGCCTCCCCAGCTGTGCCGTAAGTTGAAAGTCCATAGCCCCTCTGTCACGTGTAGTTCTAACATGATTTTGTCCTTTTGTAGATAGCATGCGCCAATCGGACCGTCGATCTGACCCCCTGCGGTCCCAACAACATTACAGCTTCATGTCTATGCCCAGAAGTGGAGTGGCAGCATGCTTTCGGCGGTTGTGTGATGAAGGAGTGTCTTCCTTTTGACGGACTAAGTAAGACCTAACCCTGACATATCCATCATGGAAAGACCCTTTCGAGAAGTATGCGAGGCTAATAAATCCAACAGCTGCTCGCAACGTAACTCTCACGCATTGTGGAGTTCCACCACGCCAGACTGCAGAAGCTCTCGCAGCAAGCGCATTTCTACTAGTCTTGACTGTGGTAGTGTTCTGCTTGCGAATGCTCGCTAAGGCAATCAGATTGACACCATGGGGAGCTGATGATGTTACCATCGTGATCGGATTCGTACGCTGACTGCCATCACCTCATCGACTGTTACGACTTTTACTGATGTGAAGATGATTTCACCAGGCAGCAGCAATCATATTCGGTGTAATGAAATTCATAGGTGACTCTTGAACTAACCAGTGGGAAACGAGACAAATTAAAACATCACTCACGCTTTTCACTAGGGCGCAGATTCGGGTTTGGGCTTGATTTCTGGACACTGAGATACGACACTATTGTCGAATTCATGAAGGTGAGCCTGAGCTGACTCGTCCATGATAGGGTTGAATCGCACTGATTCATGGGCATAGGAACGCTAATTAGTGTTAGATATTCTATGCGTTCGCCAACGTATACACGCTCGCAATAGCCGCTCTCAAAGCAACAATCTTGTTCTTCTACCAGAGAGTCTTTGGCGGGTTCAGCTCGCCGTTCACCACCATACTGTGGTGTACCCAAGCGTTCAACCTCTTAACCTTCATTGGTTTCACGATCCCAACAATAGCACAGTGTCAACCACTAAGTTTCGCATGGGAGGGGTGGGATGGACGTCATGAAGGATTTTGCCTCAATATCCTCTCCATGATCGTCACTCATGCCGCTGTCAATATAGGTTTAGATATATGGATGCTTGTGTTGCCCTCAACTCAGGTGCTTCGGCTAAACTTGAGATGGCGAGAAAAGGCGGAGATTTTGGCCATGTTTGGCATCGGAATTTTGTGAGTCAGACCATCTTGTCTTACCATAGGACCAATACGAGGAATCGCGTAGAACTTTACCAACTAACAGGAATTGTGCCCAAGCATCACGGCCGTTAGTATTATTCGACTAACAGTACTGTTGAATCTCCGGAATTTCGAAAACCCAACACGTCAGTCATTCCCGAACCCAAAGTCAAGAAAGTGGACCACTGAATTGGACTAACTTGAGGCCACCGATCAGAGGATGCATTCTACCTTCACATGTGGAGCTACATTGAGATATCAGTCGGCGTAATAATTGCCAGTCTACCCGCTACGCGGCAGCTGCTACGCCACTGGATCCCAAAATCATTTCGAGCTATAAGACGAGAGGCACCCAGGAATATGGCGCAAGCGCGGCCAGGCGATTCAACGAGGACGCTAAGGAATACACCAGTTACGGGTCTCAGCGTGGATCAGGCGAGCCCAACGAGTGTGGAAGGGTTTGCGGCATCAAGTCGTCATGGAGATGATGCAAGGCAAGTCATGTCATCCTTATAGAGTAACAGTTATCTATTGAAGCTCTTCATGGTAGTAACCGTACACTACGTTTGGTGGCACCCAGGTGAAGATGCAGTTGGAAAGAAAAGTGAGAAAGTTGGAGAAAGCTGGTCAGTGTTTTGCGTTGGTGAAGTGGGCTACGGGTTAACGTCCGGGGCGCGTCAGCTGTTGGCCAAACCTCGCTATTGAGGCATAGGTACTGTGTGACTAAACAGCGGCCAAAATCGAGTAGGATAGAATCAATGAATGAAATGATGCAAAGGTCCTTTTGCCGCCCGACGTCCAAGTCAATTGGTCAACTGTTTTCCTTGCATACAGGCCGTAACGCACGTTACATATCGTACATGATGTTTAGATGGTAGCAGCAGGCCAGTCGTTGTAGTTCTCATCCACCGTCTGATAGGGACCGTAATGAACCGTGCTTCCTCGATCGTTTCCAGCAAATGGAACACCATGCATGATTCTGTTAATCACGTCCTAGTAGACCATTAGATGGCGGTAATAAAAAGAAGAAGCGGAATCTTACGGGATTATAGATGAATGGTCGACCGAACGTGACCATGTCCAATTTCTGCTCCCTCACGAGACGATCAGCCTCCTCAACGGTGTAATCGTGATTGGCCATCAGCATCGAAGGGCTACCGGCGAACTTTACAAGCTTCCCAAAGTCGAGCACGGGATCATATCCCTCGGGCAAAGGATAACCTTTTGGTCGTTTGCTGGCAACAAAGAAGTCGCCAGTGCCGATGGTAACGTCAGTCCCCCTGCGAGATATGTTGATGATCCCGACTCTGTGATTGACAAGTTCCTTGATCAGGTGATTGTACGTCTCCTTCATTTCTTCAAACGTAACGAACGAGTCGTTGATAGTGTCTGTGGGGTTAATCTTGACACACACGTACTCCGGGCCGCCGAAGACCTCGGCAGCGGCCTCGGTAAGTTCGATCAAGAAACGGCATCTATTAGTGACCGAGCCACCATAGTTGTCGGTTCTCTTGTTGGCGCGACTGATTCTAGGATTAATAGGTTGTGTTAACGAGAGAGTAATGGTCGAGAAACTAACCTATTGAGGAATTGATGGGGCAAATACCCGCTGCCAATGTTTAGTTTCAGCAGCAATTTAGCGTTCACTCAATATTTAGGATTACGTACCCCTGAGCTAATAACTCGACGCCGTCAAAATTAGCTTGTCTCGCCAGCTCAAATGAGCGTCTGTAAGTGTCAATAACGTCTTTGGGATTGTCGATTGCCACGACATTGTGAGTGTGACCCTGCAATGCACTTTGATAAGTATTGGCCTGAAATGATGATGTATTCTGGTTAGGCATTACTCACTGGCTGCCCAGGTAAGTCGCGATACTTTCCGTCCATCGCCGGGACTGCAGAAGGTGCCAGGACAACACCACCATGCTTCTTCATGATCGGCATCTCATCATGCTGGCGGCGCCCTGTATGCCATGCCTGGAAGAAGATCTTGCCTCCCACCTCGTGAACGGCATCGGTAACCACTCGCCAAGCCTTCGAGTGATCAGATGTGATCATGAAGGGAGAAAATTTCCAGTCACAGCCGGTCCAGTCGACAAACGTACCCTCGTTGACGATCAGACCAGTTCCGTCCCTCGCTCTGTCGACATAGTGCTGGACTTGCGCTGGGCCCGGCTTGCCATCGTCGATGCAGCGATTTCGGGTCATAGAGCCCATGACAACGCGGTTACGAAGGGATAGCTTGCCGCCGATGATAATTGGCTCCAGTAGAGCTGACATTTTGAGGGTATGCAATGCTGACTTTCCAACTTCAGAAAAGAGATGAGATGTTTGGTAAGGCAAGAGACGAGGGTTGAACGGTCCTGGGACAAGAAAGCTGAAACTTATAACTTATTCTTGGGTTTCCAAAGCTTTGGTTCTTGAGCAGAGATGACGTATATTCCTTGGTTTAGTCAACGAAGACGAACGTGTACTAGACCCGCTAAGATCTCCTGTTATTCAAATGTTCTTTCCACATGTCCATCCACATACCCATAGCACACACTGTCCAGAAATAGTGTGCATCCGTTGCGCACACATCAAGTAGCCAATCAAAGAACAAGATCTCCGATCCTTGTCCGCCGCTGCACCGTGGCGGGGCCGACAGAATTTTCCATCAACCAATGAATTCCTCCCGTCTCCGAATCTTCGGACGGCTTATAAAGCCAACTTCGCACTCTCCGAATTCCAGTCTCCGTAGGACTCACCATTCCGCCGATAGACGATCGAATCCGAAGATGAAAACTCTGAGGGCCTGTCGTCAGTGTCGCGAGTCCAAACGCAAATGTTGCCGACAGGATCCCTGCGAAGCGTGTGAGGCTTGCCGTAACCGAAGGTTGCAATGCAGTGCGGCGACCTCAGCCGTAAACCCGATCTCAAGAAACGATCCAGGGCCTCTCGGCGTTGAGAGTACACAAGACTCGCAGTCTGTCACAGGTCTGCCCCAGGGTATCGTCACGGAATTAGTCGAAAATTATCTCACAAGAGTCCACGGCGGTCCCCACTGGATCTTCCATCCGATGACTCTTCGGTCACAGGTCTCCGAAGGGTCTGTGAAGGATGCGTTACTGTACGCAATTTGTGCAATAGGCTCCAAGTTTTCTCTCGACGCGAAAATTCGTGCGGAAGAGGGCCGGCTGGCGGCAGGGGCGAAGCATTCATTGCACGCGGATCTAGAGAACATCTGCATTGAAAATGTGCAGGTTTGTATTCTTCTTGCGACGCTGAGCTCCGGGAACTGCCAGCCGTCAACAGAAGCTCTTTACGTCGGTGAGTTGCGCGACTCATCTTGTTTATCATACTAGGTTATTGCCGAACGACGACGTACTCACATTCTGGGTCTACCCTCAAAGGCATCGCGATCAGCATGATCGACATATTGAAGCTCAAACGGTCACCAACTGCATATCCAACCTGTTCCATCACGGGCGAAACCGAACGGAGGATTTTGTGGTCCCTGTACATCGCAGAACGGTGGTGCTCCTCGGGGCTCGGTCTCCGCTGCAGGATGGACATGGCTGCAGATTCGTGTCATGACGTCCCAACAACCATGGATGAGTCCACATGGTACTCCATTCGGCCAGGCGGACAGCAAACTACACCCACGATAGCTTACAAACCTGGTATCTTGACTCACATGGTCAATCTTGTGAGCCACTTCACCGCGATTCAGGACCTCAACCGTCAGATCGCCATAGGCGGCTTGACTACCGCTGAGGTTGAGAAACGCGTCGCAGATCTCGCAGATAAATTACAATACTGGCACTCTAGTCTTCCCTCCGATCTACAGATGACAGTTCAGAACCTCGGTGATAAACTGCAAAAGGACCTGGCCAGAGATTTTGCGGTCCTGCACCTGACGTACCATCACTTTTCGACACTTCTGCATTTTAACTTCCTCGAGAGCTATCAAGGAAAGGCCGATTCGTCGTCTCACCACAAGCATGTTGAGCTGTGCAAGCAACATGCCTCGTCATTCAGCAATCTCCTTCGCCTTTCTCACCAGATGGGCAGGTTCGCGGTAGAATATCCGATAATCGGGCACATGACGGTCGTCTCGTCGTCGGTACTAGTGCACACCCTGCTCTTCGGCGATGTAAAGGAGCTGCCCGATGCGCGCAAGAAGCTGGATTCAAATTTTGATATACTAGTGCAACTCCAACAGTGGTGGCCCTGTACAGAAGCAATGGTAGGTGTCCTTTTGTTTGAATCCATGAGATTTCTGGCTAACAGCGTGGAATGTAGATCAATAGGCTCACGTTTTTCCAGAACGTATGCCTGTTGAGGTTAGATTCCTATAGACTTGATGGTTGGATGGTGAGATATCTTTTAGAACACTCACGTGCACTAGAGCGTCGGGAACTACAAACTGTGCCACCTAATATAGACATGGGAAGTATGAATAAACCACCACGAGCTGAGCAACTTCTAGAAATAGGGAGATACACCGATTTTAGTAGTTTCCACTCTAGCTAGAAAGATATAATGAGACTACTTAAAAATGTTTATAACCAGAGCCTAGTTAAGATGCAGGGGAAGATCGGTTGGGGGGTTCTTCGTTTGAGAACGTAAAACGGGAATCCCCATGCCGAGTTTCGGCGTTCAGAAGTGGTTGTCCTCTGGCCGACATTGATCCTCCAGTGTCCATCAACCTTAGGAAAATAGGTGAAAGTAATTGAACACCCGTATAGGACAGTTGCTGCCGTGCACTTCCATCTTCCAGGAGATCCACAAGCATCGAATTCAGGCTAATTCTATCGTCAAAGAACTCAAGAAACATGATCAAGGTCAAAGTTCTGGGCGCGGGGTACGTTATCACCGTACAAACACAATGAGGGCATGATTTTCACACGCACACAAAAGAGGGTCGGGCATGATGATTGAAGGCTCGCTCCGCCGCCACTATGATATGATAATGGTTGCCGAATACCTTCTTAGGGACTATGATACCAAAGAATGAACGAGTCTTTGGGCAGGCGCAACTTGGGTCGGTGTTCACGATTCTGCCCTGCGAGAAGAATCATGTGCGTTACCATAACTTGACCTTTGGAATCACTCAAATAGATGGAGGAGTCACAGCAAAATCGGGACTTCCCAAGCCCGCCGTACAAAGGGTTAGAATTACGCCTAAAAAGAATTTAGCGGCTAGCGAAGAACGGCTGACATAGGCTGCGAAGCACGTCATCGATGGTTTGAGTTGCCTTTAGCTTCAAGACAGAAAGCTCATAGTCACTCAGTCATAATATCGCAAGGAAGTGTTATTTCCACCATTGATCTGGCATAGTCGACTGTCTAAGAATTGATATCGACCGCACCTCCATCACAACCAACTACGCATCCCAACCCTTGGCGAATGCCGGAAATCCGGCCGACGTCTGTTTGCTGACCCATTCCAAGTACGATCTAAGACCAGCGAAGTAGAAGTTCGTGTTCGGCTTGCGACCTGGAATATTTCGACTGAAAATCCAAGACGGGCTTTTGAGAAAAACTGATCCCTGCACAAGACTGTCGCACAAATCTGCCCAATCCTGTTCAGCCTCTTCGGATACCTCTATAGTTGCAGGCCTGGTTCTGGATGTACCATTGGTACCATTGGCCTCGCCGTTGGTAGTGCCATTGGGAGTGGCCTTGCGACCAGAGTCCAGAGCTTCCGCATGTTCAATGAGAGACGTGATGAAATTTGTCTCACTCTCGATGACCGGTGGAAAGTTGGCGAATGGGCCTTGGGGGCCTGCGATCAGGAACATGTTGGGAAAGCCTGAGCAGGCGATTGATCCATAGGCCTTGAGGCCGTCTCTCCAATGGTCCTTCAACGTCTTTCCATCCCGGCCGGTAATGCACACCCTTGAGTAACTTCCCTCAATGGCGTCAAAGCCTGTAGCGAAGATCAGGACGTCCATATCATGAAGCTCGCCGCCGGCGAGCTCAATGCCAATCTTGGTAATTTGCTTGATCGGATTGGCTTGGATGTCAATGACGTCGACGTTGTCTCGATTAAAGACCTCGTAGTACCCAGAGTCGCACAGCGGGCGGCGGGCATATAGCTCCTTGGGCTTAAGAATGCTGGCCTTGGCTGGATCCTTCACGATCTGGTCAATCTTCCCGCGAATGAAGTTGCACGCCTCCTCGTTGGCTGCTTCGTCGGTAGTAAGGTCGCCGAAGGCGCTGAACATGAAGCGAAACCCGTTACCCTTTGACCAGACCTCGTCGAATGCCTCCTTTCTCTCCTCAGGGGAAGCTTCCATGGTCCTGCGGGTCGACTCCGGGACGCCAAAGCCGACTGTTGATGACCAGACGTTGTCCCAAATCTTATCGTAGTCTTCGTTGACCTTCTTGCGGTAGTCGGCTGCGATAGGGCCTTGGCCGCTCGGTACGGAGTATTGCGGATGACGTTGAAAAGAAGCGAGATGGCCAACCTTCGGCGCGATGGCTGTCATTACTTGAACACCGGTCGAACCGTTGCCGATGATACCGACACGCTTGCCATCCAGTTGAACGGCATCATCCCACTTCGCGGTATGCAACAGCGATCCCTGAAAATTGGGAAGGCCCGGAATGTCGGGCTAGTTGGCCTTTGAGAGGATGCCGAGAGAATTGACCAAGTACCTTGCGTGATAGACCTCTCCAGTGGAGCAAGCAACATGCCAGCGGTGACTGACGTCGTCCCAAGTCGCCGAATTCATCTCACAGTTGAACTTCATGTACTTCCGCAAGTCGTGCTTTTTGACGATGTGTTGCAGATACTCAAGAATCTCGGGCTGGTAAACATAATGGTGCGTCCATGGATACGTTCGAAGGTCGTCCTTGTCCCAAGAGTATCGGTACAGGTAAGTTTCTGTGTCGCTCATTGCACCTGGATAACGGTTCCAGTACCAAGTTCCGCCAACGTCAGATGCCATGTCAATGGTTTGAACGTTCATGTGCATATCGGCAAGACGGTATGTGGCATAGATCCCGCCAACGCCGGCGCCTACAACAAGGGCGTCGACCTCAATGATCTGTGTCATGACGGTAAAGAACTTAGAAGAGTAAAATTCGATGCGTAAAAAGTGGCTCCTGAGTGACTGCGTGGGCTGAGGTCTTGAAAGGGAGAGATATCTCCGTGTCCGCGTGTGGTCTTCAAGATATCGACCTCTCGGATGAAGAATGAAAGTTGAAAGGGTAAGCTGTATGCGACATTTCCCAGCCTCGAGGACTGACGTTCACATGCGATAAAGGCCGCGCACCGCCCCATGACCCCTGGTTACACGCCAATCTAGGGATCTTCCGGAACGGTGCGTTGATGTGTTGCACTCAATTCCATATACCGTAATTGAAAGGCATCCGAGATGTGGATTACTACTTGAACAAGACGTGCTTGCATTGTGGGGGTACAAGCTTCCAATTTTGCTGTTCAGCCGACCACGCTCCGCCGCTTCATTGGAGAGAGCCCCTCATTGGACCGGCAGAATCATCCGATATGCGAAGTATCTCAATTTTGACAATTCAAATGAGCAGGCAATCTTTTCCGCCGGTAGATAATATCCGGCCTTGGCTTTGGTCACGGGGAACAAATGGACAGCATATCTGCGCGCATGCTCAAAGTGGGCTGCGCAGCTTACACTTTTGCTGTTTCGGGAACAGACGCGATGTGTATGATAGACCAGCCTTACTCAAACCATCACTCATACGACGGCTCAGTCGATTCAAGGTGTGGAGATGATTTCCAGGGCAAATCAAGGCTGAGTGTCATGTAGGAGGGCCTCCAGGGTGAATCAAGTACTCATAGACCACAAAATCACTCATTATATATCAATTAGATGATTCCTAACCTGGAAGGTTTCTTCTTTCTGCATCGAAGCTTTTACTGTTCCAACATCAATCTCCCAGAACCCGTATTTTATTCCGTGACTGCTTTTCACCATGTGATGCTCTTCAGCTAACACCTTCTCTAAGAAAATACAATTAAATGTCACAACACAATGCAATTCACGGGGCTTGGAACTTTTTTGATTGTGTTCCATTCCCAGAGTACGATGGGAAGAAGTCTGTAGTCTACCGATCAGACGATGGCCAGATCGTGGCGGGAGCTGCGCAAGAGAAGGGAAAGGCAACGCTGGTCTACCCTTGCGATGAGTTCTTGTCCATAACAGAAGGGATTATTAAATGTAATGTCGAAGATGGGGACAAATTCATGGCTAAGAAGGGGGATGTCGTCTACTTCACCCGTGGGACAAAGGTCAATTTCGAGTTCAGCCAGGATTTTCATAATTTGGCTGTGTTTATCTCAACAGATAGGAAGCCAGTGAGGCTGTTTTAGTTTCAATAAAATGGCGTGAAGTCAGCGACATCCGCTATATTTTCGCCGAGTCTTTCGTCATGAAGGATACTATTCTACTACTATCAGCTTAGTAGACTTGAATCCACAATATCAATACTGTAAGATGGTGTTATTTCCATCCATGGATCCCTGCCCCGCGTATTGTCCAGAGCAGGAATGTGGAGACTTGACAGCTCTGGCTTCTAGTTGGCTGGCGGAGCCATTGAGAAGTGCTGTTTTTATCTTTTATCTCTCCCCTCTCCTATCCGATAGAGACGCCGGGTAGGAAAGACGCGAGATACGCTGGTGGGCATAATGCGGGGAAGTGAACCAACATTACACCCCTTAGCGCTGCGACCCCGAGATAACAAGTCACCTTGGTGATCGGCGCTAGGTTGCTTTCTCCTTCATCAAAATGCGACTCCTCATGAGCCTGTGACTTTCTACTCAACTGTCTGTTGCCATCTATTGCATACCGAAAGCCATCATCACGAAGACAATTAAGTATCACCACAGGCCCTCGAATTTCCTTTCAAAAGTGGAGAAAATCCAAGGCCACCGAACAGTGCCCCCGCCGGCGCCGCTCGTCCGCAGCTTCACCTACCCGGAGGACCGTCTCCTCATCGAGTTCCCCATCTTCAGCGGAGAATGAGCCAAAGAACGACCGAAGTCGCCCTGGGTGCACGGAGTGCAAGCGTCGCCGAGTCAAGTGTGACGAGACATTCCCTGTCTGCCGCAATTGCCAGAGGCGCGGCCAAGTTTGCGAAGCTGCACCTCGGCTTCGGACATGGCAGATGGAGTCTCCGTAGATAGCAAAGTCACACCTACGGAACGATGTCCCTGACAAGGTTCTTCTTAGATATTGGCTTGAAAAGGCTAGTCAAATCATGGTTATCGATCCCGACATCAACCCCCTATCTTTCCCCATTCTGGACCTCTTGGACGCATCTCTCAGCCTACTTCACGCGCTGCAGAGCGTCAGTACAGCCCAGCAACACTTCTTTGATCCATCCCAAATCGAGCGGTGTCTGGAGGAACGGAGCATTGCAACTCAGCTCGTGCAGCGCGAAATTGTCAACCCACCCAAGGACGTGATTCCCGTTTTCCTCACGGTCTTGATGCTGGGTCTCTCCACAGCCTGGATCGAAGGGCCTGTTACCCAATTCGGTCTGCAGCATCTCTATGGCGCCCGCGCCTTTGTAGACATCATGCTGGCTGACAGCTCGTTGCCTGAGGAGAACCCATCCGTCTTCGGTTTCACCATCAGGGCTTACCTCTACTGGGACATGGCATGTGCCTTCCTCGTGTGTGTGTGTTGGTGTGTGTGTGTTGGTGTGTGTGTGTTGGTGTGTGTGTGTTGGTGTGTGTGTGTGTGTGTGTGTGTGTGTGTGTGTGTGTGTGTGTGTGTGTGTGTGTGTGTGTGTGTGTGTGTGTTTTACTTTACGCCGGTGCGTCCCTGTGTCTTAGGGCAGAGGGCGTCCAGCAGCCATCTATCTAGGCCTATCGAAAGCAGAGTAATAAACAAATTCTAAGAGAAAGGTACATGAAGCTAGATGTCAAGTGAATATATACGCGCGCGGAGCGAGAAGCGTCAAACGCTAGGTGTTCCGCATCCTAGGGGCCAAAGGCATGCCATAATATGTTGGGGGTCCCGTCTCAAAACCTTCCTCGTCCCGAGTTCGGAGCAGGCACCCATCGAGAACGTTGACCCATTCTTGGGCGTACTTCAAACCGGCTCAGACTATGATTCGATCGGCGGTTATTGCACCAAGGTTTATTACCATCTGAGCAGCGTGGGTCGCTACTGAAGGCGCGTCTGTGATACGGGCATACGCAACGTCGAGGAAGAAAACCATTTGGAGAACATGTTGCTTGGGTGGGAGCCGGAAGGTGACAATGAGGCCTTGGTGACGATAGGAGAAGCATTCAAGATCCACGGTCTCATCAACCTGTCCATCTCAAAACGAAATGCGTTGTTAACCGATTCTTCCGATATGGATGACTTCCTCAGCACGCAACACATTGATCCAACCTTACTAATGGCTTCCATCTTAGCACCGCCTCCTGGATCCAGCACTGAGTTTCACACAGAGGAGGATCCTTCAGTTCGGGAAGAGAAGATCAGAAAGCAAGCCGTTCAAGTAGTTCGTTCTTTGACCTCTATCCCACCTACGCACTCCGGTACAAACCTGCAAGCAATTACGCTACTTACAGCGGGATCTGAACTCAAAGCTGAGGACTATGAAGACCACGAGCTGGTTTCACAACGTTTTCGAGCCTTGTACTCGATAAATCATATCCGCTCAAACCTAAGAGCCCTGGATCTTTTGCTTGAACTTTGGGAGTTGCGAGATGCGGGGACCGTGATGTCTTGGCTAGATTTGATGTTGGAGAAAGGCTGGTCAATCATGATGGGCTGAGTCACACAAGGTTATGGCAAATGAGTTAGCGTTGGTAGACTTGATGTGGTAACAAAAGCTACGATTGCGCTCCCGTAATCGTGGTTCCACTTTTGCGACACTTGAGTAATTCGCAGCAAATGCAGAATCACATTACTTCATTTGTCTAGTAGTCGAGACCCAGATCTGCTGATCTATACAGCAAATCGGTGCAGCTAGGGCTCCAGCCTGCAGTGTAGTAGACCTGAAGCCGTAACTAAGCAATGATTATTGCATGGCCGTAATTGTTACAACAAGCAGGCAGCAGGAACGAGCATCCCTCGGAACATTTCAATGTGATCACGGCGGTCTGATCACGAACTCCCGCTCCTGCATTTCTAATCAAATCCGTCACATTACCCGAAGCGGACAGCAGGCGAGGTGGAGACTGCGGGCTCGGCGTTTTACCTACTACCACTCTTGGAAGCCACCCGAAAGCCTTTTATGATACCACTGCTACGACTTCTGATGTTATGGAAATGAGCAGAGTCTTCATCCCGTCAACAGGCAAGTGTAAAGACACCGAGCTCGACATATTCTTGGTGCCCATGACGTCGTAGCGCTGATGCGATCAATCCAGCTCTAACATCGATCATCAAAATGACCACAAACCTCTTCCAGGAAATCACAACGCCGAATGACGTAATATACATGCAGCCACTTGGTCTTTTTATCAACAACAAGTGGGTTGCAGCCAAGTCTGGTGAGGAAATTACTGTTATTAGTCCCATGTAAGTGCATCCCTTCAGAAGGTAACGATGTAATAGAGCTGACTTGCCTTAAGCGATGAAATTCAGACCACCAAAGTCCATGCCGGTGGTGCTGATGATATAGATGTTGCTGTGAAGGCGGCGCGTGCTGCACTCGAGGGACCTTGGGCTGGTGTCTCTGCCAGGGATCGCGGAAAGCTCATGCTGAGACTTGCCGACTTGGCTGAACAACATACCAAAACACTTGTCTCCATTGACACATGGAAGAGCGGTATGTTGAAAGGCTCAAGTCTCAAACACTTAAAAATATAAAAGCTGATTATGGCAGGAAACGGTTTTCCTCTGCATGCGGTGACGCAGGCGAGCTGACAGACGTCCTCCGGTACTATGCTGGCTTTGCTGACAAGCTCCACGGTCAAGGTACGGCAACATCTGCTTTTACGAGCTTTTTAGCTGACCATTCAAAGTCATTGATACCACGGACAAGAATTTTGCGTACACTTCTCGAGAGCCTCTGGGCGTCTGTGGTCAAACCATTCCTTGGAACTATGCCCTGGGAATGGCTGGCGGGAAGATTGCCCCCGCACTCGCTGCAAGTGGCACGATAACTTGGAGACGTCCTTGCGTGACTAGGGGGCGAGGTGGGCGCTTTCGCGTACTGACCGAAAAACGCAATTACTCACGATAAGCCTAAATTGCCGAGCAACGCCAAACAGGATCCAACTTCAGGCATTTGCGCGATTGGCGTAACCAGAGAGGCAATCCAGATAGCTCATGGCGTTTCTCAAAGATTGGAGGCCTACGATTGCCATGTCTACACAGGATGAGTAGAGGTCAAGTTCCAGGAATGAGGCCGAGTGATGATATCTACAGAAGGTAAGGCAGGTAAATAGGTGACGATATTGTTAGACCGGCTCTGTCGCTGCTCTGAATTTGCACGAAAACTCTCAGTAATACAGACATTTGTAGATTTTGAGTGTGCTGAGTAGGCTAATCTATGCACCCATGTAGAGCAGCTCTTTGTGTGTGGCCGCGACTAGTTGTGTGCGGAAATCATCAGAATTGATCAAACTTGACTCAAAGAACCGAACCCTCTATGCTTGCGGACTAGGAATGCCTCCACTTCGATTTCAAGATGCAATTCAGGCCGCAGAAGCTTGAAAACATCGACGCCGGTAAAAAGCGGTCGATTTTTCCCAAAGTACTCCATCAAGACACCGTGCAGCGTGAGGCCAAATCCGGCATCCGTATTGGCGTGATATGTCCTCACCTGTACCAAATCTCAGTTTCAGTCGAATGAATGTCACCAAATCCTTGTCATCTCGAGGTACATTACCTTGTATACACAAGCCCAGACCTCCTCGCTTGAACCTGTGAGGCCAGCTTCGCGTAGGGAGAGTTCGATGTGAGAAAACGCTTCGCGTATCTCCTCAGTCAAATCGACAGGAACCGTGTTGTCACTTCTGATTCCAGCTTGGCCGCCGACATGGATAATCGAGGCGCCAGGAGGAATGACGCAGGCGTGTGTCATTTTGAGGGACTCGGAAATCTCCTCTCCAGCACCGGGCCAGTTGAAGAACCGAATCCCGCTGGAAGGGGCAGGAGTTTGAGGAATGAATTCGGGCATGGTGAGACGTTGCTGAAATTGTTGAAGATGTTGGTAGTTAATCTCGTGGAAATAGATGCGACAACTATGCCTTATATATCAACCTACTTCCGTGTACCAAAGCAGCTGAGGTGCGTCAACACATGAATCAGTATAGCATTGGTCAGCGGAAGTGTCAACGAGTTGTTCTTTTCGTAGACGCGAATTGATTTATCAGCTGGCGGATAAGATTCAACGAGGTGGTGCCGCTGGGGCCGCATATCCCTGCGGAAACTAAGGTCCAGGGTACCCATGGTTAAATGGGAGACTTACTTTTGTAAATGTGATGAAACCTTCGTCGCTAAGATGCAGCGAATATTAGTGAGCTAGAAACTCTGCCAACCCAGGTTGGAGCTTTCGAACAGCATCCCCGTATTACAAAGCCAGCATTGGGAAATCATATGCTCTGGGCCGTGAATTCAAATGTGAATGATTCAACGCTGGGCAAAGCCAGCGGGGACTTCTGGTACCGCTGCGAATGTTAGTATTGACGGATGTCGCTTTGGGTTTAGCTGGTGGAGGCATCTTTGGCTGGGCAGAGGCTCTTGACGATTGGGAACAAAGTGAAGCGTTTCCTGCCTTTATGGAGCTTCAGTTCGATCGTCCGTCTCGCGGTCAAAAACTGGCACGTAGCGAAATCGTGCACTAAGACGGTTTTACGCACAGCGCAATATCTCTATTCGTGGTTTTCCTCGCTGTGTGCTTACGAGGATCATGATCATTGTTGCCTTAATACAGGCTACGTGATGATGGAGGTGAAGGCAATTACAGACACACAACAAACCCTGACGAACAATGAAATTTAAATGCGAGCAAAGTGTATTCATCTACCGGCTGGGCCAATTATGACTGTTGGACAAGTTATGCGTTCAAAACAGATCGAACAACGTCTCTCAGACCGTTGGCATCGAGTCCCTCGACACCGAGTAGTTCGTTATCCACCTTGTGGAATTTTCCACCATAGCCCGCCCCAAATATGGCCCTGAACAAGAACTTGGAGATCACGCCAATATCCATCTGGCCAGACTTCAGACCAGAAAGAGCCTCCTGCTCCTCGACCTCGGTTTCAGCTTCGCGAATGGTCCAAGTGCCCGAAGGATCAATCTCCTTAGCAACCGAGATGATCTGGCTTTGCGTGACATCAAGGTCCTTGACGTAAACAGCCCTGTTGGCAGTCTCAGCTGGATGAGACAAAATTCCAACCACGGCCTGCCCAACCGTAGATAGCCGAGAAGCACTGAATAGCACATTGCCGCCGTCTCGCAACACGGCCGTTTTGTTCTTGACGTCAACCAGCATGCCGGATGACAAGCCCCAGTCCAAGAAAGGACCACAGAAGAGCAGACTGTATGTGAATGTCGGGTTGGATTGGGCCTTGGCTTTCAGATATTCTTGAAGCTGAAGCTTAGTACCAAAGATCGGGATTGTCTGGACCTTGGGGTTTTCAGTGCTGCTACCGAATTCCGACGGCAGGAATCGTTTGACGCCGGCGGTGACAGACGCATCAACCAATGTCTTTTGGACATCTGAGCCGAAGACAGAGAGCGTCGAAACAACAGCATCTTGTCCACGAACAGCTTCAGCCAACATAGCAGGGTTGTCGTAGTCGACGTACTTGACTGTGACGTCGTCAGGGAATTGGTGTGACGACCCGGTTCTCGTCAAAACAGTGACATTGAATCGCTTGGAAGAGCGAAGTGCGGTCAAGATAGCTGGTCCAAGATTGCCAGTGGCCTGAGTTGGATTGTCAGTGATTTGTTTATGTTAAGAGAGATTCCAGTCCTGAACAAGTCGAGTTTCAACTTACACCAGCGATAGCGACTCGACTAATAGACATGGTAAGAAGATGAAGATACAGAGAGGTCTGAAAAGATTGAGGTGAATGGAGTTTTACAGATCTCGAATGATGCTGTTCAAAAACGCATGAAGTTATTTGTAGAAGGATCCTTTTAAGTATGTGACACGGAGACAGAACCTGCTCACTATGCCATCTGCATGCCTTTCGGATGGTACCACGACAGCCATGGATGTGGATGTCCCATTCACGGTCAATGCGGTCCACGCTCCGCCCCATACCTCTGTCTTTTCTCTTCTCGTGCTCAAAAACATCACGGAAGCCGGTAATCTGTCCGTGACAGTGTCTGCCTTCATCAGAAGTGCATGGGGCGGAAGTATTCTTACAAATATCCAGCCGTCCGAATCTGGGAGGGCGAGGCAGCGGGCAAACGAGTATGACAAAGCTTTCAGGGTATCTAAAGTTGAAATTGCGCACTGACAGCTAGGTGGGGTTCGGGCCTCAATTAGAGCCAGCACGAGCAATAGGAGTGTGATTAATCGAACGTGGAAACAAAATCTGAGCAATACAGCATGTAACGAACGCTTGTACAGAGTACAATGTGGTGAATCGCAATGTCTTTAACCCCACCATCCTGGACTTTGCGGATGGGGAGTGGGGCCACAGGCCAGAACCGAGCCGGTGGGATACTTTCTCTGTCACGCCTTACGCCCTTCGTGTCAACGAGTCTTGAGTTGAGCCCCACTTCTATTGGAAACAGTGAAGGACCATGACGGCAGATTTGACAGGCTTGGCTACGCTGCTCTTGTCTGAAGTATCACGTCTACAAGATTGAATAGACTGCCCACTGTAAGTTTGAAATTGCTGTCATTCATTTCCCTCACTGAAGCTCGCGCCAGGTCACTTTGGGTTTCACGTGCCTGAACCCCTTTCTCTCTGCAATTCTATCATCAGATGAGTCCCGCAATGATGGACGCCGACTTCGATCTGGATGAATTTTTCAACCTCAGTTATTTTGAGGATGTAACTGCGGCTAGTCCCTATGAAGCCTCTTTTTTGGAAGCAGAGACGGCACATGATGCATCAGGCGATAAAACCTCACCTCAACAACAGCCCAATCCTCATGCAGGCCGTCGTACAGGTGTTACAAATACCCTTTCCTCAGAGACTTCCACAACGCCCACAGGCGCTGGGTCTGGGCACCAACCTCTGGATCTTACGACCAAGTCCACAAAGATTTCCAATCGCTTCTCTCTAGAATCAATTCGGATATTGCGGCAATGGTTGGCAGACCATAGCTCATATCCATATGCCACTCCTGAGGACATTGAAATGCTCCAAAGTGGGACAGGGCTGACCAAACTGCAACTGACTAACTGGCTTTCAAATGCTCGGCGACGTTACAAGTTCAAGGCTCAATCTGGATCGTCAGCATCGCGCACATGGAAATGGTCCGATGGCATCTCTTCACCTGTTTCGGCCATTGATTTCCCTCATCCTCGAGCCAATCCGGTTCCGTTGGAGCTCATGAATCCACTTGAAAGATGGGAAAGCTCTCCGCCTGAGTACGAAGCCGCCAACGTAGCTGACATTTCGCGAATGGCTGCAGAAATTCCCACACGCCCACCTACCCCGTACTATCTTGGCGTCTCTGAAATCTCATCCAGCGACGCGTCCTCAGTCAGCAGCGCGGGAGTCTCTCGCTCCAGCTACGGGTCCGGGTCCTCAACCCAGTCGCGCAGCTTTCTTGACACCCCCAGCCTCCAGAATAATGTTCGAAGAAGACGGAAAAAGCTTTCCAGGCGACAACCATTGCACAGTAACGACTTGCTTCAGACCTATCACAAGTATCAGTGCACATTCTGCATTGAGACTTTCAAGACCAAGTACGATTGGCATCGCCACGAGAAGACGGTGCATATTTGTCTCGACGAATGGGTCTGCTCGCCGTTGGGTCCTACTGAGCTGGACCCTGACCTGGGCGTGCAAGCTTGCGTCTATTGCGGTGCCCCAGAGCCCGATCAGCAGCACATTGAAACACACCATCACTCCCTGTGTCATGAAAGAGATCCCTTGTTCCGCACCTTTCGCCGCAAAGATCACCTTAGCCAACATCTTAAACTCGTACACGAAACGACCTTTTCACCCTGGCCAATGGAGCAATGGAAGGCTGTCGGTCGAGAGATACGGTCTCGATGTGGGTTTTGTAACATCACCCTGGAATCTTGGACCAGCCGAATCGACCACCTGGCCGATCACTTTAAGGCGGGAAAGACCATGGCGGACTGGAAAGGAGACTGGGGTTTCGACCCCGAGGTTGCTGATACCGTGGAGAACGACATGCCTCCTTGTGAGTTAGCTACTGTCCATATTGCTTGCGTAATCCCTTTCCAGCATGTTGACCTCCCACCTCAGATATGATACATTTTGAGCGAAGCACTGTATGGCCGATCTCGTCGGTACGAGGGTCATCAGATACACCGACCAGTCCGTACGAACTCCTTAAGTTGGAACTGGAATATGCCATCCAAGGGTGTCTAGCCAAAGATGGCTGTCTACCTTCAGACAAGCAACTCCATCATGAAGCCTGCTCGATAATACTCGGTGCAGATGTGACATCTACTCAACCCGCCTCATCGACACCCTCCTGGTTGCGAGACGTCTTTCTGTGCTCTGAAACGGCAAAAGAAGCTCGCCTGATGCCACTACAGCAGATTAACAAGTCACGCCTAACTCAGCTAAAGATTACTGGGAAGTGGAGCATCTTCGATCAATGCCGCCTGGAATTGGAGCTCCGTCGTATCGTCTTGACGCATGACAACCAACGGGCTATGATGTGCGACGACGAACTCCAAGCGGAAGCCGCTAACATTCTCCAACGCGCCGAGGCTTGTTCGCCCAAACCCTCGAAATACTGCGCTGAATTCCTGGTGCGAGTGGTGCAAGGGTCGAAGCTGTGGATTGAACCGTTCCGCGAACGGGTAAGACAGCTTTCGAGCATCGGTGTTGAGAACGATGCTGGCAATACGCCCGTCGGTGCAACTGAGTATGTTACTTCGTTTTCGGAGGAACGAATTGGCACCGATATCCACTATGAAGAGACCGCGATGGCGGCAGAGGCAGCAGGTTTGTTGCTCACGAAGCGGGATACATCGCAAGCAACCGCTGGAACTTCAAAATCCACGACGATAAGCGTCCCCCCTTCCAATGTCGACGAAAAAGACCCCAGTCTGGATCGAATTCCAGCCTTCACGATTGTGAAAACAAGCGGGAATACGGAGATACGTCAGGATATTCATGTACCATTCCTGCTCAACGACCACAACAGCTATACGCGTCTCGCCGCCGGCCTCTCCCGGTTTGTTGGGGCAACCATGTCACCCAACAACCCGAATAGACACGTTCCTACTGACGATGAGCTTCGGTATCAGGCAAGGTGGATGTGGTATGATGAGTGAGTTCCGCTTGTGGAAATCTTATGCTGCGCTTGTCTCATGCAATACCCGCCATGTTCTGCTTAATTGGGAACTCTGGGCTAACAACTATCTTATTTATACAGAGACGACCCTTGGAATCAAACGCCTGCAGATAATGCTGAGTGGTTGCTCAGGTTCAAACAAAGCGTTGGTATCGTTGCGGACAACCCAGAAAGAACGCTCTCATGAGAGCTGGGTCTATACCAGAAGTTGAGAATGGTATGCGGAACCTCAGAAACTGGTCACCTAGAGATTGAGCCTAAGTACAGGACGTATTTGGCGAGTCTCAGTCGTCATTGTGTTTAGCGTTATGGCGGTAGGCCTACCTGAAAGAACTGGACGATTGATCTACCCATCACAAGTTTCCAAGCTTCACGTCATGGACTCATGATTGTCTCTCTGTTCCGCCTTTTAGGCTCTTTGACGCCTTCTTCTATTCTTTTGGTCTCTGATGCTCTTCAGTCTGGAATGCAGAACCGCTTCGTAGTCCTAATCTGCAGATCTTAATCGCCGCATATTTCCGGGCCGTGGGCGGTTATCGTGGGCGCTGTTATTGGGCGAAACATGTAGTAGTCATTTCGATGTCAGGTATTGATAACTCCGAAGTTTGGCAACATTTCATGCGCCACTCAGGATCGCTGATGTACACTCCTTACTGGAAAACTTCGTTTCAGGACTTGGGTGGAATCCCATTCAATGAAGATGGTGCGGCTGTTTGTGATCATATCTGTTGGTCTGTATCCTGTAGGAAGCCACCCAGATCTTTGATCGGATTCATGGTCTATCCCGGGTGATACCTGAGATCAAATTCACTCGGCTGCAATGCATCATACAGTTCTGCAGACGGGTCTCTGTCCCCAAAGATCAACCCTGGCGCATATCCAGTCCTCTTCTAAACGAACTCGGATGCATGGCATAACCAGCATCCGTAACCAACATCCGTAACCAGTAACTTTACTTCTTTAATTCCGTCCTCTTGCGCTTCACTATCAGTTTCCAACATTCGAGCCCATTGTAAATGGTAACTCACAATGTCATCGATCATACTACAGAACGGAAGTCAGTTCTCTGTAGTTTGTCGACCCTGATCAAACTCACAATAACACAGTCTTCGCATCTTGCGCCGTATACGTAGACCCAGGCTGGACAGTCAACACCGGGCTTGTATCTGTTCACGCAAGGATAACGATCCATTTCCAAAGTTTCGTTTGTTGCAGGAAGAAGAGTACCTCCAGACGTATGGTCGCTGGTCTTGAGGGTGGAAGGATGTGGTATGTCACAGCAAATAAGAAACGAAGCATGCTTTCTGCCCATGAGTAATGATATATAAGTTTTCATGATGAGGTGAGTAACGAGCTTCCGGGAACGTTGGTTACACGGCATAGGGTGACTCGTTGTTTGAAGGCTTTCAGCTCATATCATCATTTCTCCTAGTAATTACTTGCTATTTAATCCTGTCGGCAGTGTGCCGTGGCCATCACTGTCCACGACACTGCTTCCATGCGGCAACCATCAGTCCGCAGGCTGTCGAACATACTTAGCCTGAGACTTTGGAGAGGAATATCTTGAGATCATGATCGCGCTGCACTATCAGGCTGAATAGTGGAGTCCGAGACAAGTAGGACCCGAGACATCATCGTTCTCGAGTCAGTTTATTTGTCTGTAGTGGATGCAGATTTTCAGAGCCAGGCAGCGAGCTTTCTGAAAACACACAGATTTCGAGCTGAGCAGTCGTAAAATACAACCAGATTTCCGAATGAACGGTGACGGCTCGGAAATTCCGCAGGAACCTGAGGCATTACTATTCGCAAATGTTTCGGGTGGCTTGCATCTAGGGTGGCAAACTCTGAGCTTAACCTCCGGTGTCGATGTACTCGACCGTCATGGAACGGAACAAGGCTCCGGCGAAAACGTGATACCGCATGAAGCTTGGATAATTTCTGGCAGTGTGACTCTGTATGCTGGGATTAGTGAGATTTCGCAGTAAGATTCGTAGTGGTCTGACATCACAAATTACCCAGCGTCGGCCTTTACCGAATCCTATCATCGACCATACATCAGGTCCAGATTCCAGTGCAGTCCCAAATTTTCAACGTCGCACGAGAGACAAAATCTCCGAGGGTTCTTCCGAAAGACTGTGTCCACTTCCTGCACGTGGTTTGCTGTTTGGAACCTACCGGAGGAAATACCGGCTGTGACGCTAGGAAAGCATCATATGTCGGAATTTAACGTGCATGGAGATGTCGGGGTCCCCGAGTTCCAGCCCACGGCGACGGTACGGCGTGGATGCGCTATCTCTGCTTCTCAACGTCACCGATGCATGGCATTCTTCAGAAGACCAATCATTTGGAAGATAAGCCTGCAGGGTTATTGTTAAATATCTGCATTCGCCTATTGCAAGTCAAGACACTGAGACATTGGCTGTTGCGTTTGGCGGTGTGTCCTCTCCTTCCGATTGGTCAAAGCAAGCTTATAATATGTCAAATATTTGCTTACCAAAGTCAATGCTCATTTATCTCGAGATGGATCATCATCCGGGCAAGTAGAATAGATGTGCGCTGATATTGGGCAAAATACAACGTGATTTTGCGGAGGCTTTTAACCAATCATCTTACAATTGTGATCTCCTTGTGCGTCTCCACGAAATTTTGTGACAGGTTCACATTCGGAGTACTGTCTTCGAATGTTTTGCGTCTATGTTCTCGCCGTTTCGTTCGCCAAAACATGCGAGCTGAGCCTTGATCTTAAAGACAAATGAGATTTATTGGGGGCCATTGAAGGAGGGAAGTCATGGCCTTCTGCAAACTTTAGGCCCGAAGTGCAGCCAACAGAAAGCAAGCAGTGACGCTCCAAAGGGCCACAGACTAAGACATTGTTGCCTAAATCTGTCCGACAAGCAGGGTCGTAAGTCGCTAGAGGGCCTAGGCTTTTACAATGCCCCTGCTGGTTAACAACAATTTCAGACTTAGTTGGCATTGCCACACACGAAGGCTTACATATCGGCTGATCTGACGTCTGATATGCAAGTGCGACCAGTGGAATGGTCTGGACCTCCACGTTATCAAGAAGGAACGGGCTGGGCTTCCGTCCTGATGGTTACACGGATGACCTATAACATGGGTGTGTATGGACGCAACAAGCGACCGCACCATGTTCCATGCATTGATCTTTAACCCAGTTACAGGACGTCCATTTCATCAGACTCCTCTGACCCTTGTTTGGTACCATAGATTGATTGGAATGTAGCCCCGAGACAATGCATCCCGAGACAGTGGATAGCCCTAAGCCTTGTTGCTTTAGTTGCTGCACCTAACTACCTCTTGCAGCTCCTGTATCCCTAAGGCATCCGCCGACGGTACCTGCGCTCCAAGCCTTACCCCGCGGGCTCAGCGCCAGTTGATCACTTCGGACTGGAACCGTATTGGATGATTCAATTTCCTTTGCCCCCACGAGTGGACTCAGAACGTGTATTCAAATCTGACTCGAGGTCGTTTACTGTGTCAAGTCATACGACAAGACCTACCTGGAAGTGTCGTCGCGTGTAGGGACATTCTACCCGCTGAACTCGACCCAACAGCACTGCTCTTGCAGAGACGAACATCCATCTTTGCACAGAGAACGGTAGATTTTGCATGCATCTCACTTCAGGGCTATATGACATTGTGAGCCTCCTCGGAAAAGTAGGTTTCATGTTGACACCCCTGCTATTGTAAGATGCACAGGAGAGTGTATTCTCTATAATGAGCTACTAGTCATGACGTATTCTAAGCCGAACTCCCTTGCTTCCAGGTCGGAGACCTGGCGTGACATAGTCTGCGTGCATGCGGATGTCCTCGATTCCGGTCTCGAATAGCTCCAATGTCGGACCAGCTTGCGATTTAACCTTCGGATCATATATCCCATACTTGCGGAAGATTCCTGCCGTAAATGTCTGCAACTCTTGATACGCAAGATTCATACCCAGGCACTGACGTCCGCCCTTGCCAAATGTGAGGTGCTTCTTGAAAAGTTTGGGGTCTTCAATGTATCGATCTGGGTTGAAAACGTGGGGCTCGGTAAACCAGGCGGGATGTTTATTCAGAAGCGGTGCCGTCATTCCCACCATTGTGCCAGCTGGGAGCACTAGAGTTCGTCCATCGGAATACTCAAACACCAAGTCTTCATCGGGGGCCACACGGTCCTGGCGATGCGTAGCACTGGGATACATCCGCAGAGCTTCCTCGATTGTTGCGTTCAGGTAAGAGAGGCTGTCGAGCTTGACTGGATCCGGAGGCTGATGAGCATCCGGCATGACGGATTCTAGCTCGTTTCTGATTCGCAAAAATATGGACTCGTCACTCAAAACATGGAAAACAAGAGATGATAGAGTCATGGCGGTGGTATCGGACCCTGCGATTGCGAGCACCATGGCTTCATCTACCAGTCGTGGCGTGGACTTTTCCGACTCGGGAATGTCGCTCTCCATTATCTCGTGGAATATGGTCTTCCCCTCATAGTCATTTGTCGAGCCTCGGATGCTTTCAATTTTGACGGTAAGATCCTACGGCGCATTAGCATCCCCTCACGTCGCATCTCGTTCGTACTAAGAGCCGTGACACCTACCTCGACAAAGGCGATGAATGCCTGGATGTAAGGGGCCAGTATCACGAGGATTCGTGGGGGCAGACTCTGAAAGGCCATGGCGATCGTGTGGAAATGCATAGTGAAGTGTGTCATCCTCCCAGGCGTCAATACCTCGAAAAACGCGGCGTTGCAATCCTCCATGAGCAAGCACTTTTCGCCCTCGCCGAGAGCATACGACTGAATGACATCTTTCGTTGCAGCACGACATGCCGGGTTGAAGGCAATTGGCTCGTCAGTCCTAGACCAGCCTTCCATCCGCCGCAGTAAATCGCCCAGGGTCTCATTGATGACCGGCGCCAGCTTTCGGACGTTTTCCTTGGAGAAGAACCGGCTCAAGACCGCCCGACGGCGGCGATGCAAGTCGTGATCGCGCGTGGGCAGGACAGAGAAGGTCTGTCCGAAGAAGGCAAGGACCGTCTTTGCTCTCTCGCGTCGGGCTCTGGGAGACTGGGCGGGATATAGTTTATCGACGAAGCTGGGATCATTGACGTGCACTACGTCAGGCATGGTTCTGACGACCGGTCCATACTGTCGGTGCATCTCCTCGACAACCCAGACATATTGGCCGCCCCGCCAGATATCATGGTAAGCAGCGTACCACGATGTGAGGGCTATCGGTATGAGCGAGTCATTAGATGAAATCTTTCCCATGACGTCCCGATATGATTTGGGGCTTACCAGCGATCTTGGGACCTGGAATCTTTGCCAGAGGGCTTAAATAGAGACGATAGATGGCCAAGCAAACCCAGTACAGAACGATCACACCACCGAAGGCAGTGATAGACACCATGTCGATAACGCGTATGCAATTGCGATTCGGTGACACTCAGAGATGGATGCGCAGTCTGGTAATATTCGATGTGGCTCCGGCGCGTCCTGTTTCTGCGTCAAATCTTCGTCCCGGTGCATGTATCCCGACGAACACGGTCCATCATACTTCAGAAGCAGAAATCGACGCTAAGCGAGGTATCGCATCACAGGAAATATTAGACCAACTGATGACTACAATTGAGTTATCCCAAGGTTGACTGTGACTCTATTGCACAAATTCATGTTTCAAGTTGCCGAAACTTATGACTGAGAATCCAATTATGTTTATGAGCAATACACCCACATAACTTTCCGGTCTGCCTACATCTTGAAAGGAGTTCATAGACTTGGGATTTTGGAACGGCAGGATAGACATCCATCTTCAACGCATAGCTACCATGATACCATGATGACCAACAGTCTTGACACTGGTAAGCTTTTCAAAAGCTCTGTACGTATCACACTCGTCTTTTCAAGTCATTAGTATCTTCTCGCGTCTATTATCAACTCCTTCCCACCAAACCAGCCATTGAAAGCATAACAACACATTGAGACTATTGACCCTTCATATATACCCGTCTTCTACTGACCATCTTTATGGTTTATATAACTTCATTGAGATCACTTGTGTTGGGCACGGTCAGCGGTGGTGGGGTTGCTTCCCACAGCCGGTACTGAGAGCCGTCTTCATCAAAGCAACACCAGGAGTCCAGGACAAATGCGTGGTGCGACACCAGGACTACTGTGTATGACATTTGAGG